CAGGGCTGGCACAGGGGGGAGGGGCAGGGCTGGCACAGGGGGGAGGGGCAGGGCTGGCACAGGGGGGAGGGGCAGGGCTGGCACAGGGGGCCGGGCCCATTCCTCCAGACACTCCCACCCCTGTCTCAGACTCCACCTCCTGCCCAGTCTCCACCCCCTCAGGCACTGCCACCTGTCCAAGGCAAGCCGCACCCCAGGCCCCACCTCCTGCTCAGATCCTGCCTCACTACAAGCCCTGCCCTCTCCCCAGGCTCCACCTCCTGCTAACACCCAACCCCTCCCCAGGCTCCACCTCGTAAGGCAAACCCCACCCCAAGCTCCACTTCCTGCTCAGAACCTGCCTCACCACAGTCCCCGCCCCTTGCCCAGGCCCTCCCTCCTGCTCAGCAGCACCCCTCCCCAGGCTCCACCTCCTGCTCAGACCCTGCCTGACCAGGCCCCGCCCCCTTCCCAGGCCCCTGCCCGGTCCCTGCCAGACTCCACTTCCGCGCTGTTCTATCTTCCAGCCCCGCCCCTCCTCCCCTCCACACCGCAGCATCATCTCACCCAATGTCTTGAGCAGGAGCGTGCAGTTGAGGGTGAGGATGAGCGGCGTCAGGTATTGCAAGCTCACCACAGTCACATAGCAGTAGACCCGGACCACCTGTGGGCAGGTAGCAGCGGTGGCTGCGGCAGGAGGCCATCTGGGTTTGGGAAGACTCCACGCCCAAAAGACCAGGAGCCCCGCCATGAGCCCCAAGTTCCCTCTGGCCCAGGTCATCGGGGCGTCCATACCCTCCGCTGGATTTCACGGGCTTCGATGCGGCCAGCCTCCCTTCGCAGCTGCTCCACGCGGGCCTTGGCCAGGCACAGGTAGGCCTGCAGGTGGGGCCGGGTCACCGCCAGCCGCAGCAGGCACAGCACCACCAGCAACCAGAGGCGCCCAGAGTCAAAGGCAGAGTCGGACAGCCTGTGTGGAGTGGGGTGGGGGCAAGGGGGCTAAGAAGGCCGCCCCCGATTTTCCCCGGGCTCCTCCCTGAGTCTCAGTGGCTGGGGCACCCAGGGGAGCCCAGCTACCTCCTGGCCCCAACCCATACGCACAGGGAGAAGGGCGTCTCCCCAAAGGGTGGCTGGTGCAGGAAGTCCCGTGCAATGGGCTTTGTCCAGAGCCACAGGATGAACAGGGGAGACAGGAAGCTGGTGTGCAGGAGGAACCTGGGGGGTGAGGGCAGGAGGGAGTGAGGCCTGGGCACCCTTAGGTTCCCTAATCCCCCCACCCACTAAGCGACCCACTTAACTGCAGCATGGGCCGGTCCTCTGACATGGTCAACGCGTCCCGGTGGGTCTGGGCCAGCCGCAGGCCTGGGAAGGTGAGGAAGGCACCCAGCACAGAGCCCACCACCGCCAGCCCCACACGGATAGCCAGCTTAGCCACAGGGAGCCTAGAAGAACAGCAGGTCACAAGACTGGCTGGGGGACCCTGGGAGGGTCCCAGCCGGCCCTGGCACCCCTCCCCCATACCCAGGACTCACGCCCAGTCCCAGCCTTGCTTCTTCAGAAGTGGCTCCAAGTTCCGGGTCATGCTGGCCAGGCCTGGGAAAGATAAGAGGACCGAGTAGAGTGAATTCCTAGGGTCTCTAAGGCCACTGTGTTCCCTAACCTCCACCCCTCAAGCATCCGTTTGCTCCCCAAGTAGGAATGCACCATGGTCTGCCAGGCCCTGTGCCAGGCACAAGGACAACTTTGTGCTCTAGTTACACAGCACTCTTCACAAGAAACAAGGTCGGTGTGTTGGCTCACACCTGTAATCCCACCACTTTGGGAGGCTGAGGTAGGTGGATCATCTGAGGTCAGGAGTTCGAGACCAGGCTGGCCAACATAGTGAAACTCCATCGCTACAAAAAATACAAAAATTGGCCAGGTGTGGTGGTGGGTGCCTGTAATCCCAGCTACTTGGGAGGCTGGGGCAGGAGAATCACTTGAACATAGCAGGCAGAGGTTGCAGTGAGCCGAGACTGTACCATTGTACTCCAGCCTGGGGGACAAGAGTGAAATTCCATCTCAAAGAAAAAGAAACAGAATGCATGAGGCAGACACTCCTGATTGGGCTGGGAACATTCAGGGGGATCTGTTGAGCCTGAGCTCCCTACGTTACAGAAGGAATCTGGAGGGAGATGAAGGTCTCCTGCAGGAGAAAACCAAAGTCCTCCTGGAGGAAGGAATCCTCAATTCAGGACCCAAGATTTTCCAAAAATTTCCCAAAAATTAAGGGCACAGTGGCTCACACCTGTAAATCCCAGCACTTTGGGAGGCCAAGGCAAGTGGATCACTTGAGCTCACAAATTCAAGACCAGCCTGGGCAACGTGGAAAAACCCCCATGTCTACAAAAAATATAAATTAGCCAAGTGTGGTGGTGCATGCCTGTAGTCCCAGCTACTCTGAAGGCTGAGGTGGGAGGATGGCTTGAGCCCAGGATGTGGGGGTTGCAGTGAGCCGAGATCATGCCACTGCAGTCCAGCACAGAGTGAGACCTTGTCTCAAAAAAAAAAA